TCATGTTGGCTGCTGGTATCCGGGATCGTATTTTTTTCAGTCACAGGCCAACGGCTCATGTCCATAAGTGAGGGTAGGAACTTAGATCAACCGATAAATCGAGAACTTCGCCTTTTGACTCAGCCCCTTCAGCAATCCATCTGTCAATCTCCCGCTCCACCCTCCTCTCACTTGTGAACAAGACCCTCAGATGTTTGAACTCCTCCACATGGGGCAGGGTCTCATCCCCGCTCTGGAGAGGGCACTCCACCCTTTTCCGACTGAGCACCATTGTTTCAGATTTGGAGGTGCTGATTCACATCCCGACTGTTTTATACTCGGCTGCGAACTGCTCCAGTGAGAGTTGGAGAGCCCTGCTTGAAGAAGCCAACAGCACTACATCATCTGCATAAAGCAGAGAACCCCTATTTATTAAATATGCAATCAGATTAATGTGTAGGAACTTTGCTTGATTTAAAAAAATAAATTTTAGTCTTCATTTTGTTGTGCATTTATGCATTTTATTTCATGGGGACGCGTATGGCATGAAATAAATGTAATGGCCCATACACTGTTGGCAAATGTAAGTAGAGTAAAGTAAAGCGACCTCTCCTGTACATTTGTAATATATGTGCCGCACAAAATCTGCAATTGCTGTGGCAGCCGAATGTTCAGCACAATCCGGGAAAATTTGCCAGAACGTTCGGTACACCTGTCCAATCCGGTGAGCTCAAACGCAAGCACAAATCAGCTTTGCAAGATAGAATACGGAATTTGAATGTAGAGAGTTATATATTTATGTTAACTTCATATGTACTTTGTCAGTCAAAACATAGCGTGATTATCATTGTCAAGCAAGACATGCTTTTCAAAACTGTACACCATTTCGAGTCCTATTTATTTTCATCGTATATGTAATGTGATGAGAATCGTCACGCACAGATTACTGTGACTTTCTACATTGTTGGTTTTGTTTTTGATGTTGCAGCTTTGTACATATTGAAGTATTAACTTCAATTTCAAATCCGATCCAACTAAAGTCCTCCTCTGAAGTCTTTATTTGGTGTAAATCTTTGCGACGCCTTCATGTGCTCATCCTTTAGACGTCCACCTCCTTGCTGCCTTGCAGACATTCCTGACAATGTCTCCTGCCCCCAGCCTGAAGCTTCTCTCCGGACAGCTGAGGCCCAGCAACATGATCCCCAGCTGGCTGCCCTTATACCAACTCTCGATGTGTGTGTGTGTGTGTGTGTGTGTGTGTGTGTGTGTGTGTGTGTGTGTGTGTGTGTGTGTGTGTGTGTGTGTGTGCGTGTGTTTGTGTGTGTGTGTGTGTATACGTGCCACATTCTCAAGATTCCCTTTGAAATACATTCTTGTTAACTATATTTAGAACAATATAACTATACTTTGACATGTAAATGCTTGTTTTTGTGGATGATGTTTATTTCTAGCGTTTCCTGAGTAATATCAACGTAAGGGAAAATACTCACAAAAGCATAATGTGAAATCATTATTGAGGATATTTTGGTTTCTGTCTTGTGATTTCCGGGCCAGGGTTGTGATGCAATGAATCCTTCTATCCGTTATCTCTCGTATCGCTATTGTGTCTTGGAGCCCGAAGGTCTTTGCGTCACTAACTTCACTTCACTAAGTGGGCCAGAGAAGAGGCGGAGATGCCGATGTGTGGACTTCTTTCCCCCGTGAGTCACTCAGCAAAAATGAATGTCCATTAAAAACATAAACAAACATTGTTGCCATGACAGCACACAAAGAATAAGGTCCTTTTGGAAATTTGACATGGGAAGCCTATGACATTTAAAGAACGGATGAATGTGAATGCTGGTAAATTATTAAAGAAAAAAAAAAGGCTTTTGGTCCATCATTCCATTGTCTCATTTGCCTTGATCAAAGCGTTGGCTTTCATATTTGGCCGAGCCATAGCTTCAGGGCGTGGCTCTGACTTACGTATGGACACAGGTATGTGATCACCTGAGTAATGTATCACGCCGTAAAATACCAAAGGAGGTTGTTTCCAGTAAAACAAGCTGGTGAAAATCTCTTGTCAGAGGAAGCAAAAAAAAAAAAAAAAAACCACCACTTGAATCAAACAACTCTGGTCGTGGTTGGTTGTGAGCAAACTTATTTAGCGTTTGCGTCACATCCTGGTGGACTGTGATGTTTGGCTTTGAGAGCTTTTATATTTACACATGACGCCGCCGGTGTTTCATCCTGTTGGCGTCACCTTTCATGTTCTGACAGGAAGCAAGGGGGCGACCGTCTGTTGGGTTGGCTTCCTGTAATCAAAGCGACACCCACATTAAAGCAATGGCGTCATCCAGCTGCAACCTGACCTCATTAAAATGACAAGAAAATTGTGCGAAAAGTTGGCAATGTGCAGTCCTCGTAGCCGCGTATGACTCAAACATGGCAGCCATGGCAAGTTTTCCATGAAAACGTTTCAGTTAGACAAATTATAGAATTTGCTTTCACAATTTCAAACCGTTCCCAGGCGTTTCAATAACATGTTTGTGTCATTCTATTGCCGAAATATCCCAAGGATCAAGAATTGAAACGCAAATGCAATAACTGTAATATCTCTTTTTTGTGGATTGAGATTAGGTGGCACGGTGAGCCACTGGTTAGCACGTTCACTTCACAGTGCAGAGGTTCAGGGTTTGATTCCAGGCCCCACCCTTCCTGTGTGGAGATTGCATGTTCTCCCCGTGCCTGTGTGGGTTTTCTCCGGGCACCTTGGTTTCATCTCACGTTCCAAACACATATATGTGCGAATGGTTGTTGGTCTATGTGTACCCTGTGATTGGCTGGCAACCAGTCCAGGGGTGTATCCCGCTGACTGCCCTCACACACACGCACGGGATGAGTAATGATTTTACACACACACACACACACACACACACACACACACACACGCACGGGATGAGTAATGATTTTACAGGATATGTGTGAATATGGAATATCGAAACTGAATTTCCCTCAAGCACTGTCAAAACACAATTTTGTATTTTCTTGGGCGGAAGCAGCAATTTAAATTGAATCAACTTCAAAATATAAATTATCGACATTCACGTCAACAATGTTCGTTAGCACAACAATGCAAGCAAATAGTTTTTTTCCAAAACAATTTGCGGAGTTGTTTTATTTGTAACTTTAAGTTGGATCACAATAAATGCAACACTTTGTTCTGTAAACTCTTTGTGAAATTTCCAGTTCACTCAACTTATTATTTTTATTTTACAGTGTGTGATTGATCAAATATCTTCTATCTGTATTTTAATTGAATCTCGTGGACCTCATTCGATTGGAGCCGATGAAAAAAGTGTAAATTACTCCAGATATGAGACAAAAACATTCATATTTAGTTCTGTGAGACAGATCAGAATGACCCGGAATTTGGAAAACTGTCTTAACTATGAATGACACATCCTGCATGTCTTTGTGTGCTTATCTTTTCCATCAGTATGAAACAATGTATTCATTGTGACGCCGCAAGTACGACATGGAGATGATGTTTGTATAGTTAAAACTTCGAGCGGAAGACACATTGTGCACGTCGGCATGCGCGTGGGTGCGGGGTTCATTCCACCCGTGACAAGGTCCGCCTGATGTCCAACTCCTGAGCTGCTGCTGAGTCAGGAATGTTCCCCCAGAGTAGCGCTAAACATTGTGCACTCACAAAGAAGAATGAGCAGCTCTCCCACAGTAACAAAAACTTGACCACATGACCTCGTGAGCCCTTTGACTTAGGCACGTCACGTGCGCGAGATTAAAATGGTGCCAATTTGTTCGACCATATTTTTAGAAGGGAGGCCCATCCGCCTTTATCATAGGGCGAATCCCATATCAAAGCTGGGGAAAAGGACTGCGACCCCAACTTGTATTTCCCTCTTGCTTTAGCCTCCTTTCACCTCTGACCTCGGCACATGTGCGCTCGCAACATGTCTCGACTCTTATTTCCTTGGCCTCGCTCTTTTCAAGATCCTACTTTTCCAAAGTCTCTGGGAAGGAATAACATTTCTGATTTGCGTTTTCCCATGCTTACCTATGTTTCCTTTTTCCCCTTGCATGTTTTTTTAAGCTTACATTGTCTGCAGTCACACCAGCCAAAAACAGTGGCAATGCTCATCTTGTCATGTATCAATTTTCACACAGATACGGTATGTCTTCATGTGAGATGTGAGTGCACCACATTTGAAGGCAATGTGAGAAGCCGCCTTTCTTGGTAACGAATGAAGCCGGTTGTGTTCACACCCACAACAGCACAAATTGTCTTTTTTTCTTTTTTTTAATGTGCCGGCTTGCTTTGGTCTAGTCTGCCTTCATGCATATTTCGAACTCGTGAGACGCCGGGCTTGTACCGGTCATGAAAATACAGCATGGTCTGCTCAAGAGCAATACAGTTGATCTTTGCTTTTCCATTCTCACAGTTTTTACTTGAAGAAATTGACATGAAATTTCAAGTGTTTAACACTTTGTACATTTTGAAGTCCAGTCCAACAAGGAAGCATCAGAGGAAAGAATCCAACACATTCCTTCACAACTGTCAGAAAATCACCCAACGCATTTGGGCTCATGCGAGGCACATTGTGAAACAACATATGTGTGCCAGATCGCACACGCACCACACCTTTGAAGTAGTTAAGGTGTGTTCAGAATAACTCTACTCTGCTTATCAGCTACGACCTCAGCTTGAAAGACTCCCGCTGACAATAAAGAGCCACATTCCACCTGACTCAGAAAAGGAAAGGGACTTTCCGGTCCACCCTTCTCCTTTGACTGAGCATGTCTGGCATTTACCGAGAAATGTAGTCGCAGAGAACTTCCCCGGAGTGAACTGTATACTGTTACTTGCAAGGTCATAAGATATGGGCAGTCTCACACTGCAGGCTGGGAAGAACTCTGGAGAATGACACTCAGTTTAGAAAGTGGACCTCTTGAAGCCGAAGACTAATTTGCTTAAATTCATCCGCACCGGTTTAAAAAAATACAGCACCAATCTCACGTATATCCATTCAGTTTTGCCAAGTCGATACTTTATTTACAACGATAAAAGCCAAGGCCTCATCAATTGTGTTGTTTCGAGGTGTCAATATTACTCACACTCTGTACTGTTTAATGTACAAATACTTGCAGAAAATAGAGACACTGGTAACAGGAGAACTATAATTCAACTCCTGTACTTATGTAAAAAAAAAAAAAAAAGACAGAGCCTGAAATGTACTTCAGTACAACAGTGAAGGTACAAATTATTTTTACTGTCAATTATGTGCAATACCTAATTTGATAACTTGGCACAAAAAAAGTCATTATCCAGGTTTAAAAACTTAAACGTAAAAAAGTTAGGAGTAGGAAATACAGCGTCTTCTTTCAGAGAGTAAGAAAAAAAAAATCATCCGAAAAATAAATACTTCAGTAAAGTACAGATATCTGAAAAATCAGTACAGTAACCAAGAACAAAGTAGTTGTACTTCCCACCACTGGTACCGATTTTTGTCACAGAATGAGACATTAAGCAGACAATGCATCGTTAAAAAAAGCAGGAGGAAAAATGAATCTGCACTAAAATGCCTCACCCTTCCTAAAGGCTTTGTGGAAATCAGAAGCATTTTTCCCCCCCTAACAAACATAACCTCTTTAGCGAAAGTAATGAAACGCTTCAGTTTGTCCAAAAAGATGCACGTATATTTATTGAAATAAATACATAAACACATAACGCTTTGAAACAAGCAAATAATTTAAACAAGTGCAGTTTACCAGTAGACACCCTATCCTGGAAACAAATAAATTAACAGACATTCTTTTATAGGCATCTTTTTTTCCCCCCCTCCCTCCCATGAGAGCAAACTTCACTTCTCAGTCCATGTGAGTGGAGTTTGGAAAATCTGTGCTGGACATGCAAGAGTCGTTGTGACATCTCAGTCCAATCCTTCATCTCTGGACCCGGTGACGTCATCGTTCCCTTTTGGTTGGTCCTTGAATGATTATTTCTTGTGTGGGCCACACGCACACATCCTGGGGGGAAACAAGGAGTGGAAAGTTGAGAAACTACTTGAAGGGAATTTAGGCTATGGGATAAAAACGAGTTTTAAGGAGATGGAAAGTTCATTTGTTGAGTTAGTCTGTTGTTTTTACAGTTTTATTATGTATTGCAGTTCCATTCTATTTATATCTACTTTATTCCCACGTGTATTTTTGACTTGTTTGAATTTTGCAACGCTTATACTATTTTGTGTATGACAGTTTTCAATTTGAAGCGCTTTCTCATTTTGTTTCGAGATATTCTTACGAGAACGTGAACTCACCATATTAATCTCACGGGGCCCTCGCCATGTGCCGCTCCTGCTGGCCCGGGGACGCGCCCTCGTTGTCCTGACGGGTCTTGAAATCCTGAATGGCCTTTCGGTTCTGGTAGTCGATGAGGGCCATGGTGATCACCGCATTCCAGCAGTTGTCCTCGCCCGGGCAGCGGAAGTCGATCTCCTTGTCGTCCGTGGTGACGATGGTGAAGTAGACGAACTTGCCGGTGCGCTCCACGCAGTCCACCTTCTTGATGCACTGCAACTTGAGCTCTTTGCCCCGTGTGCGCTTTTGCGTGTCGGCGTACATGTTGAGGCTGTCGGTGGTCAGGACGCAAGTCTTCCTTTTCCAGAACTGGAGCAGGTTGTCGCTCCTCTTCTCCAACTCGCCCTCTTTGAGCACCTGCGAGATCTCGGCCGCGGACATTTTCATTTTTGGGAGAATGTTGTGACGAAAATTGTCTGCGTCAACCTGGGTCAGAGCAGCCCGAGGAAGGTGCCTCTCTTTGGGTTGGAGTAATCCACGGTGGCTATTTGTGAATGAAGCACAACTTGGACGAGCAACTTTATAGCCCGGCCCCGGCCTGCGTTCCGCCCACTTGACGTCAGTTGGTTTTGGAATGTATCAGCAGTTGTCAGTGGGTTGATTCAAGGCAGTGTGTGTGCACGCGTGTGCGTGTGTGGGCGGAGAGGCTCAGAGGCCAGAGGAAGTTCTGAAGGTGGACCAAACCGCCGCACACACCCAACATGTTAATTAATCACCAACCCTCATCCTACTGTGGGGATTAGTCCAAACATGTGCCTTCTCAGCGTGTTGTGACTGTCAAAAGCCATCTTCAACGACAAAGTGGAACTCTTTTCCTGCTATTTCTCTGTTGGATTTGATTTCTAAGAAAGAACCATTACATGACAGTATCGGGAAAGAAACCATATTTGGTAAACAGAACTCAATTTCAGCATGAAAGCCGCACCAAGAGTTCAACTTGACCCTGACAAGGTGCGCCATCACACACACACACACACACACACACACACACACACACACACACACACACACAGCACACATACGATTACAATGAGTCTGTATGACCCTGTGATTTTGCACAGCCGATCAATACTGAGTAAGATGTAACGATATAGACAATCATATTTTTCTTGTCGTGATAAACATAATGCTGAAAATGATAACATGATATTTGGTTCACCGAAATCATATAACGTACGACATTCATTATGATTAGAAGTGCTCATTTGGGGTAAGCTAATGCCTAACACGCTGACCTGGGGGCAGTTGCATGGTACATCCTAGACTGGTCAACAGGTAATCACGGGGCACATATCGACAAACAGAACAGCGTTGACCAGCTTTTTGATTCAACTCGCCCATTTTACATAAGAAAACTAAACCAAAGTGTCTCAAAAAGTGTGAGTACTCAAATAATGATTGTCTCTCTCAATTTACTCACATATTGAGCCACTCAATAAAACCTGGGCCTGTCTAATGAACAACAAAGCTGATGCACTCGCAGGAAGCAGTGACTTATTCGATTAAGAATGACAACAGGACACGATTATTCTACCCTCTGTCATCTAATGGAAAAAAAAAATCATTCAATTGTCCTCCCTCTCACCACACTGTACATCGGATAGATGAACAAAGGTAAATTTGCAATTAGTGAATAATAATTTTCAATCAAGGGCGGCCCGGTGGTCCAGTGGTTAGACCTTTGTGAGGATCAAGCGCATTGGAAAATGAATGAATGAATGAATTTTCAGTCAAATTAAGTGCAATTGTTTAATTTCCTTCGCACTCTGATGATCTCCTACAGTGATCAAAATACCCCAGTTTGGAATCATTATCGTAAAAACTGAACGGATGTGTGGATGAGAGAGTATTTGTTCAATCTTGTCAAAAAAAGGGCCTTAGAAAGACTGAAATAGATGTTGTAGTAGAAGACGAGAGCAGAGGTAAATGACTCTGACTGACTCTGTTTTTTGTGTCGCTGGTTGCCAGGCCAATAAAAACCACACCCAAACGAGTCAGAAGCACTCCTCTTGAAGTGCACTGCAATGGGGGGAAAAATGGCTCCAAAAGGTCATGCAAAAAAAAAAAAGTCCATGGTACTCGATTAGTTCACGAGACACAAAGACAGCTCAAGAAGGAAGTGCTTTCTTTTGTCGAGGCTAAAAAAAAATGATCTACTTACAAAGTAATAATTATGAGTCAACATGACGCCATTCTCCTTCTACTGTGTTATTATCATCACATGCTTCTTCACTGTAACTGACTTCATCCCATGACTCATATTTGCTGTGCATCGCCCCGTCTCCTGGAGTTTGTTGAAAAGAGAGGCTGGTTCGAGGTGGACCGCCATCAAACCTCCACTCCAAACAAGCCTGACCCCTCGAGGCAACTCGAGGAGCTCCAGCTCTCATGTCTACCTCTTTAATCCCTGTCTTGATTTTTCACTTAGGAAATGGCATAACTCACCTGTTGATCCTCCTTTTCCAGTTTGTTGTCGGGACTTTTGGTGTTGCCTGGGGGTGTGCGACTTGCTGAATCCTTTTAGAGGAAACTTTGCGGTGAAGGCATGCCCGTGCTCAGTGACTCTGCGTGGGCTGTGGCAGGCTCCAGTGGAACACTCGGCTTGCCAAAGGAAGACCCGGTGACTCAGTTGGATTCCGTGCATGTGTGTTTTGTTTGTCAAAGGAGACACAGAGTAGACGGTACTATAAATATAGGACAAAGTGAGGTGAATTTGAGTCTTCACTGACAAGATAAATATTTCAACGGCGAGGCTTGACAGGCATGGAACAAGTGGCATGATTGAGTCTCTATCAAACCATATAATATATGAGTCACTAGAAAATGGGAGTCTCTTGATCTAAGTTGTCCCGTTTGACCAGTTTATTTATTCATGTACAATTATTTGCTTTGTCTGCGCAATTCGTAATAAATCTTTTGGAAATTAGGATTAAAAAAAGCAAATGAATGAGTAAGTGAGTTAGTTTTTTTTCTTGGTATGGAGCCAACCTAAAGTCTTGGCACCCTCATTTTTTTCCGTAAAGCGAAACACAGCGTAAATGGAGACAATCATAAAAAGCACATGCCACCGTCAACAAAAGATAATGAAGGTTGTCTAGAATTTTTTATTGTTTCCTCTTGTGATAGTTTATTTCAAGATAAAGATTAGCTGTGTTTGAAAGAGGCCCATTTTGTGATCTTCACATTCCAAGTTTATTGTGGCACTCTTTGCCTTGAGCTACAATTCAACTGCACTTGGTACCTCATTGGAGAACAAAGTTGACATTTTTTAAGTACATGACAAAGTAGTTATAATATTCAAAAACAGCACACAATGTTTAAAAAAAAATACCAATTTGACAAAAAACTGAATTATATTACTTTTCATCTTATTTCATTTTTTCCAGTGGAACAAAAAATTGTCACAGGATTTTTTTTTTACTTCATACATTCGATTGTCAAACGCTATCATAATTTTTAATATATTTTAAATTGAATATAAAGGGACATTACAGATAATTTAAAAATAGATGTTACACTTATACCAGCATTTTATTTTGTCAACGATAACACAAAAATCACTCTACATTCTTTGAACGATTTTACGAAGCAATATTTTTTTCTTTACTTAGCTTTTAATGTCTTAAAATGTTTTGTTGAAACCTGCTTTTAAATGTTGTTCTTTAAATGATGTAAATCACACTTAGTTACCTTGTGTATAAAATTCAAAATTGAAATAAATCTGCCTTACCTTTCCTTTTACTATGTTTAAACTCACAGCACATGTTGACCTACTATAACAAATTCATTCATAATATTATTGGTTTCAGCATGTTTCCGAAACACGGGCTGATATGGGCCACCCTCTTCCTTTCATTTTTTTCCCATCAGTGGAAAACGTTTGGACATCCCCGATCTAGAGCATTTGAATCATCAATCATCCTATTGGACATAAGAACAATGAGATATTGTACCAACCTGGCATCATTTTTTTATTTGTAAATAGTAATGGAGAACGCAACCCTGTCACGTGGCCGCTGAATAGCAACAGTCATAAAAGCAGAACGTGTCACCGCTTGTGGGAAAGAACAACTGTTTCCCATGAGCGTTTTTTTTTTTTTTTAGGTGGTGTGTGCTGTGGCGGCCTCGACATTAATATCAGCACTTTCTCGCCCTCGCTCTTTCGACATAGACAAAACTGCAGACCCCGAAACACACAACGGAAACATGATAACATGCCAGGTGCAAATGCAGAGGAGGACATAAAAAGATTCCCAAAAAAAGAAAAAAGTCCTTTGTGTTTATTCCTTTCTACTTCAGCATGAGGGAGTTTTGTAGCCGAGGGCACCGGCTGGGTATGACACATCAGTTGAGAGGTGTTTGGTTGTCATGTTGGGGCATAACGTCCATGTTTTTTTTATTGTGTTTATTACACTCATTTTATGCACTTTTAATAGTTAGCGATGAAAATAACTCAGGGATTCTTCATTCATACTGTATGTGTCAGAGCCTGTGTGAAAGTAACTGCGATGAATTCGTTCTTTTCCTTGAATGATAAAGACGACGTTGACAGTGGCAACCGATTCAGAGTGTAAATTTGCCTTTCACCAGGACTCAGCTGGGATATGCTCCAGTCCAGCTCCTCGTGACCTTCTGAACAGGATCAGAATGGATGAAAGGATGGCTTAAGAAGTTGTATAATTGTTTTGTTTTCGCCCCTGGGCCCCCACCCTCACGGTACAGTGTTGGGGTGTTAACTTAACTCAAGTCCTTGTGGTCAAGTCCAGTCAATAAATGCAGAAACAGATGTTATGGTCTGATGGTCTTAGCGATTGTGTATGTCAAAGTTTGCACACATACAACATATTTTTTTAAATCAGTGAATTCAATGGTACATCCAAAGTCATGAAAAATGATCTCAAACTCAAAGTTTTACTTGGAAAGAGGGAAAAACAAATCCCCTGTTCCAGTATCAAACTGTCACTAACATTCGACTTTTTTTTGAATTGCACATGCGCTTTATTAAATATCCCTACCATATTCTAAACCAGGGGTGTCAAACATACGGCCCGCGGGCCGGATCCGGCCCGCAAAGGAGTTTAATCCGGCCCGCGAGATGATTATGTAAAGCAGGGGTGTAAAACATACGGCCCGCGGGCCGGAACCGGCCCGCAAGTAGGTTCAATCAGGCCCGCAGGATAATGTAAAAGTGAAAAAAATGCATTAAAGACACAGAATTAATATTTTTAATCAGGTGCAATTCATTGAGTATCCGCAAGGGGACACTGTTTTGATCAGAGAAGAAGACAACAGCAGCCTCAGTCTGTCACTGAGACAGACCCATGACAGCAGACGCTATCAATAGCACTCTCACATTTACACATTTAATAGCACTCTCCTTAGTTTGTAAGGTGTAGGCAGGGATTACATTTAGATTTTATATGCACGTGTAAATGCTTTAAAACTTGCTTTCTTTATGAATCTTGTTTAATCTTAAAGTGCATTACTATATTTTTCAATACCAATTACTTGT